ACACACGGTATGTAAGTGTCTACAGTTGTTTGTTGTTTAAGATTCAGCTCCTGGGAACAAGGTTCCAAGTAGCACGGGCTATGGTGAGCCCGTAGTGGACTTACCAGGCACAGGAACGGGGCTGTAACTGTTCTCAGGAACGAGCCCTGTTTTATATGTTTGTGTCATTTCAAGTTTTGTTTTGGGCTTCGTTGTGTTGGCGGGTTCCCGGCCGGTGCAGCGTACTAAAGAATATCGGTCTGGTATAAGATGTATACAGGGCTGGGAAGGCTCTCCGGACGCTTGGCATGTGCTGCTGTCGTTACTGTGCTGGTGTGGAGGACAACTGCCTTTCCTTCATCGTGGAAGGGAAGACAAGAAAGGTGGGAGGGAGGGAATTATCAGAGGGAAAGCATCAAGCCATTACGAATATATAGCACTGGTAAGGGGAGGGGGGTCAGGATAAGGATTTGGGATGGGACGGGGAGTAAGGAATGGTGCCCAACCACTTGGACGGTCGGGGATTGAACAGCAACCTGCATGAAGCGAGACCGTCACTCTACCGTCCAATGAAGTTAGACAGTAGGATGAGTGATAGTTAAGGATAAGAGACACGATAGATGGATTCATGACGGATAATGAACAGACGGATATATTATAAAAAGAGAACACGCCGTGAGATGGATATTACTGTCCTTTTTAGAGAAGATGACGGACACTTTAGCCTCGGAATTATTTTACAATTTTAAGGAAAATCCTGTTAAGTATAATTTTGATTGTGTGTGTGTGTGTGTGTGAGAGAGAGAGAGAGAGAGAGAGAGAGAGAGAGAGAGAGAGAGAGAGAGAGAGAGAGAGAGAGAGAGAGAGAGAGAGAGAGAGAGAGAGAGAGAGAGAGAGAGAGAGGAGAGAGGGAAGAGGGAAGGGGAGGGGGAGGGGGATAGGCAGAAGGAGACAGGAGTTTGAGTAATCGTATTGGGTTCATTTTCCGCGAGAGGGAGCCTCTTTGACGTATCGCCAATGCTATTTTCCCGCTATAAAGGATCTCGCACCCGGAAAATCTTGGAGGAATCTTGAGTGCACCAGACGCCGGATTAGCGCCCAACACATGCTAGGGGGGAGGGGGGGTGGAGGGAAAATGTGTGCGAGATGGGGAGGGAGAGTGTGGTGGAGGAGAGAAGGGCAATGATGGGAGAGGGAGGAGACGTGGGAGAGGCCGTGGGAAGGGAGGGTACTAGAGTCAGGTGAGGGAGAGGAATGGGCGCTCGGGAGGTGAGATTTGGTAACAGGGACATGGGAAGGAAAAGTAGAGAGGGAAAGGAGATAGAGGTAAGGTGGAGACGACGTTGAAGGGAGATCATTAAAATGGGGAAAAAGAAAATAGGGAAGATGTTGATGGAAGATGTTTCCCTTCATCTGGGAAGATAACGTGTGAAGAAGGAGGAGAGGTACTACTCACCTAGTTGTGCTTGAGGGGGGTTTGAGTTTTGGCTCTTTGGTTCCAACTTTCAACCATCAATCAACTGGTGTTCATGACTCCGGGTTCCTGAGCTGTTTAGGCTCTATTTTATTATAATTTGAAACTGTGTATGGAGTCTGCCTCCACCACATGACTGCCTAATGCATTCCATTTAGTAAATACTCTTACACTAACAAAACATCTTTATAATATCTCTGTGGCTCATTTAGGTACTAAATTTCCACTAGTGTCTCGTGTTAAATAGTCTGCCTTTACGTACCCTGTCAATTCCTCTGAAAATTTTGTAGGTGGTGATTATATCTCTTCTAACCCTTCTATCTTTGAGTGACGTGAAGTTTAATTCCAGTAGTCTTTCCTCGTATCTCATACCTCTTAGCTCGGAGACTAGTCTGGTGGTACTCCTCCTAACTTTCCTTAACTTGGTCTTGTGATTGACTAGATATTGACTCCAGGCTGCAGCTGCATATTCCAGGATTCGTCTGACTTACGCGGTATACAAAGCTCTGGATAATTCCTTATACAAGTTTCTAAAGGCTAAGGCTGTGACTGATAGATGGGGAAGGTTAAGGGTGGGTGAGCGCCCTAGACCCTTCAACACCGGAGGTCAGTGGCCTTACTTTTATGTACAAGACCAGTTCCACTACCACCGCCAGCCACCGCCAGCCACCGCCAGCCACTCGCCAGCCACTCGCCAGCCACCCGCCACCCACCGCCAGCCATCCGCCAGCCACCCGCCAGCCGTTCCTCACTTTCTCAAACTCGTGGACAAAATTTGGGACGCGTGAACCGAAAATTGAAACGATATTAAAAGCTTGTGACCAATTTTGCCGCCAAGACGACTTTAGTGGAAAAAGGTTTTGACAAGAAGGAAATATTGAATATTGTGTCCACGGGCCTGTTGTGTGTGTGTGTGTGTGTGTGTGTGTGTGTGTGTGTGTGTGTGTGTGTGTGTGTGTGTGTGTGTGTGTGTGTGTGTGTGTGTGTGTGTGTGTGTTATGTGTGTGTGTGTACTCACCTAGTTGTACTCACTTAGTTGTGTTTGTGGGGGTTGAGCTCTGGCTCTTTGATCCCGCCTCTCAACCGTCAATCAACAGGTGTACAGATTCCTGCAAGCCCGTAGCTTACCTGGCACAGTAGCGGGGCTGTGTGGGTGTGCCTTCTGTTTGACGAGAAAATGAGTACTATGTAATCGCCTCACATTCCAGTATTTGGGTGGAATATGTGGCATGTAGAGTCATCAGAGATTACTTGATCAGGCGTCTGAAGGCAGTCCTCTATTTTGGCCAGCCTTGCATGTGCTGCTGATGATATCCTGCTAATGTGTACCTCAGGAGATAGGATAGTCATGTGTTGGTGACCGACTTTAGGTGGGATTGACTCAGTTAATACCTTGTGTGTGTATATTGTGTCCTGGTTTATAGTTGATAATTTGAGAAATTCAGGAAAGTGTATTTGTATGCATCTATGGCCTTCGTTTGACAAATATTTGTGTAGTCAGTTAGATATATTGTCTCAATCTTCACTATAATTTAATTTTGCCCCGAGGGGCGAGTTTATTGGGCAGCGCCACTCATCTTGTGAGTGAACATACCGCCATAGCAGAATGTACAACACTCCCCAATAGGAAGAAAACCCGCTGGGTTGTTCATCCTGTCACTTATCTTCACTATAATATTATATCTCTCTCTCATCTCTCTCTCTCTCTCTCTCTCTCTCTCTCTCTCTCTCTCTCTCTCTCTCTCTCTCCTCTCTCTCTCTCTCTCTCTCTCTCTCTCTCTCTCTCTCTCTCTCTCTCTCTCTCTCTCTCTCTCTCTCTCTCTCTCTCTCTCTCTCTCTCTCTCTCTCTCTCTCTCTGTCTCTCTCTCCAGTAAAGCCTTCCCTCCCTCCTTCCTTGGGAGAAATATTCTTAAGTTGAGAAATAATAAAAATATTGTAGTCATAACTCGAGTGGATGACGCGGGGGAAGGGGGCGGCTTGGTGGAGGGGTGGCAAAGTTTTTTGTAGGGTGGGGGACGGAAGAAGAAGGAGGGGGGGGGCAGTATTTGGCGGGGTGTTGGGGGGGGGGGGGGTGCGCCTCACATCTCACAGTTCAATCTTTCCTTCCAGTGTAAACAAATACACTTGTTCCTCTCTCCGCCAATGTTGACGGGGACACAAGTCACATCGTGCTCTAGGCGGAGCGCAAATTAATTTTAAATCATTTTAACTTTACCCAAACTAGTAGTAGTAGTAGGCATCCATCAGTCTCAGGAGACAATGGAGTTGTGCTCTGGTTGTCCGTCTGGAGTGACCTCCCCAGGGTGCAAAGTCAGGGTAGGTTGATACGGGGGAGAAGCTGTTACCCAAGCAGCAGATCCCCCCCTCTCCACGGCTCCGAAAGTCTCCAATGGAAAGGCAAACGCACTCCCTAAACTAACCTAACTTAACTTAACCCACCCCGAGTCTAACACAGCCAAACCTAAGCGAATATTCCATTCACCTGGGCTCTAGGAGACTCGAACCCTGGACCCCACAAAAGTGTGTGAAGCCGAAGCTCTTATCGACCGAGCTATTGAGTAATCTTAATAAGGAAAGTTTGTCAAATACAACCTGATCTTATACATCCGAATATACCTAAGCGAATACATCCTAATATTACAATGTATGCGGTTTCGAACTTCAGAACCGTCTTGTGTCCAATTTGACTATAAACCGCAGCCTCGCCCCACAGCCTCACTCCACAGCCTCGCCCCACAGCCTCACTCCACAGCCTCGCCCCACAGCCTCGCTCCACAGCCTCGCCCCACAGCCTCGCTCCACAGCCTCGCCCCACAGCCTCGTCCCACAGCCTCGCCCTATAGCCACACCCCACAGCCTCACCCCACAGCATCAAGCATGACTGCGGTATGATGTTACAACCATCCCAACGTAGATTGATTGATTGATAAAGATTAAGCCACCCAAGAGGTGGCACGGGCATGAATAGCCCGTAAGTGGTACAATTTTTTTTTCTGTATTCTGAGGTTGCATTTAACCATCAAGCTGTTATCGCGGGGGAGGATACTGCTTCACAGTCTTTATGAGGGTGTCCAGCTGCTGGACACCTTTGTTGACCAGGAGAGTGGCTGTGTTGATGGCTTCAGGGTGGCCACTGCATGATTCAGGAACTCTTAAAGCTCTTCTAAGGTCATTGGTTGCTTCACATTCCAAAAGATAGTGAAGTAATGGCTTTTCTGTGACAGTTTGGCAGAAGATGCACTCTCTCTGTCGGGGTTCACCAATCTCCCAGTTGCATCTGTAACCTAGACGTAGTCTATATAGCCTAACTGCTATTTCCCTGTGGATTCCTTTTGGGATATTTAACCTTTCTAATTTGGTTGCCTGAAGATACCATGTTGCAGATGGCGAACCTTCAGCTATTCTCTGGTGCAGGTAGGCTTTGTTGAGATGTGAGTTTTTTCCAACGTAATCTTTCCCTCCCATATATACGCGTGTGTGTGTGTGTGTGTGTGTGCTCCTCTCCTACCTTTCCCACCTGGTGTTGACCGTGGCCCCTCTCCCACAGCGTCGAGCGTGACGGAGAGCCTGGGAGGGGTGGAGAAGACCGTGGGGCTCCTCACCTTCGAGAGCGTCACCAGAGCTGACATGGGCCACTACCTCTGCATCGCCAACAACTCCGTGCCTCCCTCCGTCAGTAAGCGGATGGTGCTCAACGTCAGATGTGAGTACCTGCTGGGCTGCTGACACCACGATCCAATAATAATAATAAAACAATGGTGTGTAGGGAAGGTAGCCGAAGATAAGAGTTAAGATGACGAGGAGAAAAAGAGAGATGCAGGCGCCCCAGACTAGTAGATGTTGTAGATAGGTGGTCGTAGGAGCTGGGGGGTTCTTAGGAGCTGGGGGAGGGTCTTAGGAGCTGGAAGTCTTAGGAGTTTGGGTTGTTAGGAGTAGGAGGTCTTAAGAGTAAGGTATAACAGTGATGAGGAATTATGAGCAAAGATCTATGTCAAATCACACAAGAACACTATATGCAATTATCCCCCAGCAACCCTTCCGTTTTTATGTCTGGATTTTCAGAGATAGAGAGAGAGAGAGAGACAGAGATAGGTATCAAGCAGAGAGAGAGAGAGAGAGAGAGATAGAGAGAGAGAGAGAAGAGGAGAGAGGAGAGAGAGAGAGAGAGAGAGAGAGAGAGAGAGAGAGAGAGAGAGAGAGAGAGAGAGAGATTGAAGCAGATAGACATGAACATATAGACAGCCTGTCAGATACAGAGCAAGAAGAGAGGCAGAGACAAAGAGACAGAAGGAATGGAGAGAGAGCGAGAGAGAGATGGAGAGATATGAATGTGGTCTTGTAACACTCTCTCTCTCTCACTCTCTCTCTCTCTCTCTCTCTCTCTCTCTCTCTCTCTCTCTCTCTCTCTCTCTCTCTCTCTCTCTCTCTCTCTCTCTCTCTCTCTCTCTCTCTCTCTCTCGCATATCAGCTCTGTCACAGACCTCGCCCTTACACTGCCAAGGCACCGCCGCTCACTGTGAATTATTAAGGAAATAGTCTGATAAGAACCGTCTCCCCATTACTTCCTGAGCGGGAGGTAGGCAGGAAGTTTGGGTAATTCTATATATATATTTTGGATCTTATTTCCTTATGCAATTATCATATTTCTTAGTCAAATTGGTCATTCACGTTCTACCTTCATTGTCAATATTATATCTAGAAAAATGTGTTATTTCTACTTTATTTACACAATTTGTTGATGTTTTGGGTAAATCTATGTTTCTACTTTTGGCTAATGAAGGAAGGAGGCAGACAGGAAGGGAGAGAGGCAGGCATAAAGGGAGGGGAAGGAGGATAGGGAAGCAGGGAGAAAGGCAAGGAGATGCGAGAAGGGAAATATTAAACAATATCCGGCCGCCCCCATCCAGACTGTTTGGATGGGGGCGCCCCATCTCTCCAGAGTAAGGTGTCGTATACCCCCCCAACCCTCTCTCACAGATCGGGAGCCAGCAGTGTACGTCAGTCACCAGATGATAGGGGTATACCGTGGCGATGATGTAGCCATCAACTGTACCGTCACGGCGTACCCAAGACCCGTCGTTTTCTGGCAGGATAACCTTGGCAAGATGATCATCTCAGGTACGTCAGAGGCGTCGTGTTTTACACCTTGTGGGTCGAGGTGCGTTCGTTGTATCTATTATTTTGTTGTACCTTCCGTGGGTCTATAGCTCTTAGGAATATGTTCCTATGGTTCCAGCTCTTTGGGATTGCTTCCATGGTTCCAGCTCTTGGGGATTGGTTCCATAGTTCCAGCTCTTAGGGATTGCTTCCATGGTTCCAGCTCTTGGGGATTGCTTCCATGGTTCCAGCTCTTTGGGATTGCTTCCATGGTTCCAGCTCTTAGGGATTGCTTCCATGGTTCCAGCTCTTGGGGATTGGTTCCATAGTTCCAGCTCTTAGGGATTGCTTCCATGGTTCCAGCTCTTAGGGATTGCTTCCATGGTTCCAGCTCTTTGGGATTGCTTCCATGGTTCCAGCTCTTAGGGATTGGTTCCATGGTTCCAGCTCTTAGGGATTGGTTCCATGGTTCCAGCTCTTAGGGATTGCTTCCATGGTTCCAGCTCTTAGGGATTGCTTCCATGGTTCCAGCTCTTAGGGATTGCTTCCATGGTTCCAGCTCTTAGGAACTGCTTCCATGGTTCCAGCTCTTAGGGATTGCTTCCATGTTTCCAGCTCTTAGGGATTGCTTCCATGGTTCCAGCTCTTAGGGATTGCTTCCATGGTTCCAGCTCTTTGGGATTGCTTCCATGGTTCCAGCTCTTTGGGATTGCTTCCATGGTTCCAGCTCTTAGGGATTGCTTCCATGGTTCCAGCTCTTAGGGATTGGTTCCATGGTTCCAGCTCTTTGGGATTGCTTCCATGGTTCCAGCTCTTAGGGATTGCTTCCATGGTTCCAGCTCTAAGGGATTGGTTCCATGGTTCCAGCTCTTTGGGATTGCTTCCATGGTTCCAGCTCTTAGGGATTGGTTCCATGGTTCCAGCTCTTATGTCTTATTGCTTGTCTTTTCAAGATCTTTTTCTTAGTGGGCAATTTCTTAATTGCACTAATATATTCTGAAATAATGAATAGATGTCGTCCCTTAACAGAAATGAGTAGGAATATTTAAGCTGTGTCACACCCCCCATTAACATGAGCGGGTTGAACTATTCATCCCCCTTAATTCCCACCCTTTTTCCTCTCCCCCTGGTAGCGTATTAAGCATCATCCTTTTATGTTGTTGTTTTAGATTCAGCTACTCGGAACAAGTTCCAAGTAGCACGGGCTATGGTGAGCCCGTACCTGACGCGATATCATCCATCAATTAACTCTATTTACCCCTGTGGTTGCCTCAGGTGGGCGGTACCAGGTGGTGGAGAGTCAGGTGGGAGAGAGCCCGCCCAAGCTGCAGACGACCCTCATCATCAGAGGCCTGCGGGTCGACGACATCACCACCTACCGCTGCAACGCCTCCATCGACAACGACAAGACGCGGGAGAAGAGCCTCGCCGTTCAGCTCAACGGTGGGTGCTGCTCTAGGTGTGGCGGGGGATATCTGAGGGTGTGGCGGGGGATATCTGAGGGTGTGGCGGGGGATATCTGAGGGTGTGGCGGGGGATATCTGAGGGTGTGGCGGGGGATATCTGAGGGTGTGGCGGGGGATATCTGAGGGTGTGGCGCCGTTGTGGGGAGGGTGGGGATGGTGTGGCTCTGTTGCTTGGGTAGGGTGTGGCTCTAAGATGAGGTTATATGGCGCTAGGGCCCCCGCCTTGTAAATCTTTAAGTAGCTTATACATTCATTTTGTCGACGTTCTTGTGGTTGGGGTCAACTGTGTGACTGGAAGTAGCTTCCAGCAGCTTTCCTTCAACATGGCACTACTTCGTTACCCATCACTTCATATTACTTTATTACGTCTCATTAAAATAACAATTCTTCCCTCCTACTCCCTGGGACCCTTCATTTTTCCCGCGTGTGAAACAGATTTTTGTTATCTTCCATTTCTTTTCCCACCCTCCGTATCTTGTACGTTGTGATCATGTCTCCTGTGGTTCGTCTCTCTCAGAGCTGTTAGATTGAGCTCCCTTATTTTGTTCCATGAGTGGTATTATATATTTATGGTAAAATTTCTTAACTCATTATGTTGTAAATGTGTTGGGGCGCTGAGGCTGTGTTGTGGGCTGTGTGTGTGGGGGGTGTTGTGAGGTGTGTAGTGGGGGGTGTTGTGGAGGCTATAAGTGTGTGGTGGGGGTGTTGTGAGCTGTGTAGTGGGGGGTGTTGTGGAGGCTATAAGTGTGTGGTGGGGGTGTTGTGAGCTGTGTAGTGGGGGGTGTTGTGGAGGCTATAAGTGTGTGGTTGGGGTGTTGTGAGCTGTGTGTGTGGGGGTGGTTGTGAGGTGTGTAGTGGGGGTGTTGTGGAGGCTATAGTGTGTGGTGGGGTGCTGTGGGCTGTGTGGTGAGGGTGTTGTGTGTGTGTGGTGAGGGTGTTGTGTGTGTGGTGGTGGGGGTGTTGTGGGTTGTGTGTGTGTGTGTGTGGTGGGGGTGTTGTGGGCTGTGTGTGTGTGTGGTGGTGGAGGGTGTTGTAGAGGCTGTTGCTGTGTTTCAAAGGAGGAAGATGGGTGTGGGGTGTGGAGGTAGGTGGATGTGTGGGGAAGGAATGGAGGTTGATGTGGGTGTACTTGGAGGGGGGGTGTACGTTGCCTTGGGTGTGTGGAGTGGGTAAAGAAATGGATGTCAACCGATTATATAGCTAGCTCTTCGAGTACCATACTGGGCTACACTCTTCGAATACCATAGCTCTTGAGCACCATTGACAGTGCTTAAAGTCATCTTCAGATAATGATAGTAATATCCACCTCAGGCGTGCAGGCAGACTGTGGCTGCCCGCACTAGCGAGGAAAGGTCGTATATTGAATTATTCCTTCATCCACAGAAATCTCGCGCCCCTCCACCGAGTCTTCACTGGCGCAGGACGGCTACTTCAAAGGTAGGTCAGCCCTTGGAGGTCTCGCCTGTCTGTAGCATCCATAGTTGGCACTCTGGCCGGCTTCTCTCCCCTCTGTTGGCACTCTGGCCGGCTTCTGTCCCCTCTGTTAGCACTCTGGCCGGCTTCTGTCCCCTCTGTTAGCACTCTGGCCGGCTTCTGTCCCCTCTGTTAGCACTCTGGCCGGCTTCTGTCCCCTCTGTTAGCACTCTGGTCGCCTTCAAACGCCTTCAAACAAACCGGCTTCTCCCCTGTCACCACACCACCCGGCTCTTTGCCCCATCTCTGTTAGCATTCTTCTCTACTCTCCTCCCTTCTGTTAGCACTCTAACCTGTTTTTCTCCCCCTTTGTTGGTGTTCCGCCCGGCTCTTCTACCCTCTGACGGCCCTCGGGTCCACGACCCATTCCCCTTCCTCTGACTGGTCCCCCGCTTCCCTCTACAGGAACTCTGGCTGGAGTTACTCTTGCCTCTGTTGGGTGCTGGCCAGGCCTCTCTCAGCAACAAGCAGTGTATTCCATTCCTCCTTTTGATCTTATGAGCCTTGTAATCAATTGTTATTTGTTGTGAGAAATGATTCAAGTCATTAGGAAGAATAGTTTTAAATAGGGGATACTAATTCATACGTGGGTATATATATATATATATATATATATATATATATATATATATATATATATATATTATATTATATATATATATATATATATATATATAATATATATATATATATATGCACCAATGATCGTCTATTGCGTGCGTGTTCCTGCAGCTTTCTATATATATATATATATATATATATATATATATATATATATATATATATATATATATATATATATATATATATATATATATAGGTCGTATCTAGTAGCCAGAACGCACTTCTCAGCCTACTATGCAAGGCCCGATTTGCCTAATAGGCCAAGTTTTCCTGAAATAATATATTTTCTCTAATTTTTTTTTTCTTATGAAATGATAAAGCTACCCATTTCATTATGTATGAGGTCAATTTTTTTTTATTGGAGTTAAAATTAACGTAGGTATATGACCGAACCTAACCAACCCTACCTAACCTAACCTAACCTATCTTTATAGGTTAGGTTAGGTTAGATAGCCGAAAAAGTTAGGTTAGGTTAGGTTAGGTAGGTTAGGTAGTCGAAAAACAATTAATTCATGAAAACTTGGCTTATTAGGCAAATCGGGCCTTGCATAGTTGGCTGAGAAGTGCGTTCTGGCTACTAGGTACGACATATATATATATATATATATATATATATATATATATATATATATATATATATATATATATATATATATATATATATATATGATACATAAAGTATATATCATTTTTAATTTTAGTTTGGAAAGTATAACAGTTATTAAATTTTATAATTAAATTTTTACTAAGGTTAATAACTAAGTTTAATTATGTGAAATCCCAAAGCTCAAACTGTGATTAGCACCTCAAGCTCATTATAGTTTTACGCACGCACGCACGCACACACGCACGCACACACGCACGCACGCACGCTCCCACGCACACACCCACGCACATACTCACGCACACTCCCAAGAACACGTACAAGGAGATATAGAGGGGGACACGTTAAGAACATTTAGAATTCTAAGGTAAGTTGACCAATTAGACACAGCAGCATTGTTCAAAGCTAGGAACAGCAGAACGAGGGGTCATAGATGGAAACTGGAAACGCCAATGAGTCATAGAGACATCGGGAAGAATTTTTTCAGCCTTAGCGCCGTCAATAAATTAAATAGCAGAAGTCCTTGAAGATAATTCTATTCAAAATTTTAAATGTTTATACTATAAAATTATAAGAAATGAGTCATTTTACATTAATCTAAGAACGTTCCGAAGGCGGGGTTAGGGAGCTTAGCCCGACCCTGCAATCAAATCTAGGTGAGTACACGTGGCGTTACACACTAAAGGGTTAGAGTAAAAGATCCGAATATTATTGCAGTAGTGGAAACTAACATAATCGGCATGATCTCGAATGCATTATTTCCTGGGAGATACCAGGTAATAGGAAAAGAAAGAAAGAAAGAAAACGAGCAGTGGAAGTTACACTCCGAGTGAAAAGAAAGAGGACATTTGTGAAACTTGATGATTAATACAAATGGAAAAAAGAGAACATAACTGGCAACAAATGGGACAAAAATATAGGGGCATTGTTAATAATATACAACCCCCTCCCCCCCAAGTTAACAACAGAGAGAGGGGTTGTGAAGGCACGAAGTTCTCGAGAGTAACTTCTCAACACCGGATGTAAAACATGTCACAAGAGCTAAGGGGAGAAGAGGGACCTATTCTACTACATCTGATCTCCACACAAATTAACGAAGATGTCAAAAACTTAGAGCATGAAATACCACTAGAAGCCAGTTACCATGGTTTCCTGATCTTTAAATGGTCGAATTAAAAGCATGTCCATTGGTTTTCAGCCATAATAATTGGCGGGACCAATTACCACGTAACGTGATGGAGGTGGAGTCCCTTGATTGTTTCAAACGTGAGTTGGACATGTATGAGTGGGATTGGGTGGTTATAAATAGGAGCTGCCTCGTATGGGCCAATAGGCCCTCTGCAGTTACCTTTACTCTTATGTTCGTATGTAAGTCATGGGTTTAGAAAAAAAGAGAGTGGACTTCAAAAAGGGAACTACAAGAAAGTAAGAGAGTACTGGGAAAATATTCACTGGGAAGTTGAACTTGGGGAAAAAACAGTCCTGGAAATGAAGGAACAAGTCAGAGATACATAGAGGCTGAAGAGAGATTCCTCCCACAATAAAGGATAAAAAAATCAAGAGAATATATCATCCCTGGTTCAGTACACAACGTCCAGGGGCTAAATCGAAAAGCAAGAAGGAGTGAAAAATAATGAGGACAGATAGAGATGCAATAGAGCTAGGAACGAATACATAAATATAATTTAAAGTATCACCAAAATTATGAAAACAACATTGCAGCCAAAGCAAAGATACAACCGAATATAATTTTGTTTTCCTATTTTTTTGATGGTGTTTCTATTATATACCTTCAGTGCCAGGAGTGATCTTTGCGACCTTCAGTGCCAGGAGTGATCTTTGCGACCTTCAGTGCCAGGAGTGATCTTTGCGAATCACAGTATCTAATTCCACTGTCTTCGCCTTTTTAAACATTCAGTGGGAAGGTATATACTGTAAGTTGGTCTTGAGTCGTACTACCCATTGACACCCTTCACAGCTTTACGAGCGAGACAAGATCGGTTAAATACATCACAAACGCACTCGATACATCGTCCACCTTCCTATACAGTGCCACCTAGAATGGCACTGTTACACGCCGTCATGATCTCCATTCTTAAGTGTTTTAACTGTGTAATGTGTATTCTAAGGTGATTTGTTTACGAAATCTACTCATTTCTAAATTCTCCCGAGGATTCGTAGGCTATTAATTAGGCCGAGTACATATTTATTATTTTGTTGGATTTTATTATTCCCTAAACTCAAATTACACAGTAATTTTTTGTTTACCTTTCTAAAACCTTACCTTTATCTTTCTGGGGGGCCCTGAGAGCTGAGTGGACAGCACCTCGGATTCGTAGTCATGAGCTTCCGGGTTCGATCCCTGGTGGAGGCGGAAACATATGGGCAGAGTTTCTTTCACTCTCATGCTCCCTGTTAACCAAGCAGTAAAATAAGTACCTGGGAGTTAGACAGCTGCTACGGGCTGCTTCCTAGGGGCATGTAACAAAAATAAAGGCCTGGTAGAGGACCGGGCCGCGGGGACGCTAAGCCCCGAAATCATCTCAAGGTAACCTAAAGATAACCTCTATGGACCTCAGTGGTCTAACATCTTCTTGCTTTCAGTCCACTTCACCACCTAGTACCCAGTACCTCTTGTCTCTCCTAGTACTTATTAACTCTCGCTACTACTAGTATCGCGGGCTCACCATAGCCCGTGCTACATGGACATTTCGTTCTGAGCAGCTAAATCTATAACAACAACAGAAACAAACTAGTATTCATTGTCTATTGCCTCTCCTAGTACCCATTGCCTCTTGCCTCTTCTAGTACCCATTTCCTTTCGGCTCCTAGTACCCATTTTCTTTCGCCTCCTAGTACCCATTGCCTCTTGTCTCTCCTGGTATCTAATGTGCATCACTTGTCAGAGTACTGTGTCATACCTGTCCTAGGAAGCAGTGTTGTTTACACATGTGTGTAACCAGTTTACGTGCTGTATTACAATGGACCTGTAAACTACCAACTGGTTCACCAACACTCAGGCAGGTGAGGGAGGTGTGTGTTGCTGGAAGACTCTTGAAAGAGGCAAGGTAAACACGTCCGGTTCCTGCATTGTGAGGATGTATACAAAGCCTAGTACCCAGTCATTCCCGCGTTGTGAGGATGTAAACAAAGCCTAGTACCCAGTCATTCCCGCGTTGTGAGGATGTAAACAAAGCCTAGCACCCAGTCATTCCTGCATTGTGAGGATGTAAACAAAGCCTAGTACCCAGTCATTCTTCCTAGTGCCCTGTCACCTGTCCTAGCTCGAGCAGGTGACGCTTGCTAGTATTACCCACAACCTGTGCTAGTATACTGCGGTTTCTTATATACTTTTCTTCCTAGTTTTACTCGTTCTTTGCTAGAAAAACCTATTCACACCCACCAGCTACCTAGTATTTTGCTTCGCCTCATTTTTCAGCCTATAATTACTTGCTACAAACCACTCATTATCTCCACAACTCCTAATTACATTATCTACCTAATTATCCCCAACTATCCTTAAGGTACTTCAGTTACTAATAACAAAATTAATATAAACAAATTTAATGACAAAAATTACTGACAAAATTAGTATAAAAATCATTGTGCATAGTTGTGCCAAGATTTTTATTATTTTTTTAAATTAGAAAAATGCTAACCAAAATGTTTATAATTAAAAAAAAAGTCCTCAAACGATTCTTTATCGTTATCCCAAAAAAGTTTCTTGGTAACTGGTTCCAATGACATTGCATTAGTATTGAGTTGAAGTCTTGAGGTTCACAGAGCACAAGCGCAATGACCTGATCGTCTAGTTTTCGCTCTTAAATACTTACTTTTGTTGACGCGTTATGACCGTTGGGTCAATTGTTGACCTAATAATGCTCGTTGGGACAGTTTAGTCCCTCTGATTGTTATCTTTGGTGTCCTGCAGTGTATTGTAGAGCTGACCAGTGTATTCATGCATACTACTCTCTCTCTCTCTCTCTCTCTCTCTCTCTCTCTCTCTCTCTCTCTCTCTCTCTCTCTCTCTCTCTCTCTCTCTCTCTCTCTCTCTCTCTCTCTCTCTCTCTCTCTCTCTCTCTCTCTCTCTCTCTCTCTCTCTCTCTCTCTCTCTCTCTCTCTCTCTCTCTCTCTCTCTCTCTCTCTCTCTCTCTCTCTCTCTCTCTCTCTCTCTCTCTCTCTCTCTCTCTCTCTCTCTCTCTCTCTCTCTCTCTCTCTCTCTCTCTCTCACTCTCTCTCTCTCTCTCTCTCTCTCTCACTCTCTCTCTCCCTCCCCCTCCCTCCCTCCCGGTGTTCCTCCTCTCCTACCATACGGTGTCTCCCTTGCAGTCATCCGCCCCCCGAAGAACCTGCAGAAGTCGCTGACCAAACACACGCACATCAACGACATCGGGGAGCGCTACGAGAAGCCCACCAACTTCGTGCCTGGCAACCTTCAAGGTAAACACCTTCCTCTCAGATAAGGTGCAGGTGCCCCCTTGAGGGTAAGTCGTAGGTGCCGCTTGAGGTTCAGTTGTAGGTGCTACGTGATGGTACGTCGTAGGTGACATTTGAGGGTAAGTTGCATGGGTCGATTTGAAGACAAGTTCCTGCTACCACTTGAGGGTAAGTTGCAGGGGAATTAGAGGTCGTGTTATGGGCTGTTGCAGGTCATGCTGACGCTCAATTAGCTGGCAAATCACAGGTAAATATCAGGGTAATTACGGTGATCTTCAAGGTGGAAGTCAGACAAGTCAACCAGGTGAACGCCACAGGTAAAGTGTGGGCTAATTGTAGGTCGTATCAGATATGTAGTTGAAAGTATATTTGAAGTATAAAGTATTCTTTTTTTAGTATAAATAGCTCGGTCGATAGAGCTTGAGCTTCACACGCGTATGGGTCGACAGTTCGAGTCTCCTAGAGCTGAGGTGAATGGTATATTTGAAGTAAATAACGGATACAATTACACCTGGATTTTGGATCATTTACAAGTAGCCTGAAGAGTAGAGCACAGATGTGATGATTACTTTTAGTCAGACACCAACATAATGATTCTGTAATTTACAAGTAGATTTGCTAAGTAACCCACGAATATAAACTTTCAGATAATGCATAAACGAATATCACATGATTTTTTGCAACTAATCTCCATCACAGGTCAACTTTGCAAATAGATTAGGAAAGAATCACAGGTGAATCCATTGAAATATCTATTAAATCATAACCCAGCCCAGTTAATCGTAAACGAATCTAGTTTAATCACAGATGATATCCTAAGTGTATCCAAGATGATATCCTAAGTATATCCAAGAGGCGCGAGCTGGATCATGCAACAAATATATTATTTGTTATTTGTAACATTCATAACATTAACAATTGTTAAAACACTAATTATTGTTATAATAATAACAGCAATAAGACCTGTGAGTGGACAGGTGTGAATACAGATGTTACATTTGACTATAAGAGAAAATGTCTGTCTGTGTCTGTCCCAGGTTGGAGGACAGACGCTTGGGGCTAGCCTCACCCAAATTGATAGAGGGAATGGTCTGGGGTTCGGGATGAACATAGGCTGGTCCGAGTCGCAAAAATTAAAAAAGAAAAAGCGTGCCAGGGCCACATTCTGACCCCCTCCCCCCCAACGATTTTTGGCACTGCCCGCCAGCTACACGGCTAAAAATTTTGAAAACAAACTCTTCACCGCAAATTTTTTCTTATAGTAATAAACACCATTGTTCACTGATCTCGGAAAAATCAACACAAATTATCTACTGTTCATACTTTGGCCATAGTCCCATAAAACAGACTTATCGTCCCAACTTATCGCGCAAAAGACTTTTCAAGCCATGTCCCTTTCAGGGAGTAAAGGGGGTAACTATTTTCAGTAGTTCACATCACTAAGCAATGTTAATTATATTTTTATAGGAGTCAGAGAGAAACAGAGACAGAGTCAGAGACACACATATAGAGACATGGAGAAAGAAGTAGATAGATAAATGGAAACAGAAGTAGATAGATGGATACATTGATGTGTAGATAGGTACATGAGTAGATAGTGGGATAAATGGAGGCACGGATGGATATTTCGGTAGACGGACAGATCGATGAATGGGTAGATAGAAGAATAGATGGATAGATGAATAGAGTGATAGAGAGATAAACATAAGAATAAGTGAATGGCTAGGTGAATAGATAGATAGATAGACAGGGAGATGGAGAGATGGGTAGATGTGTATGTATAGATAGCTAGATAAATAGATGAATGGATAGATCGATGGAGAAATAGATGGATAAATAGACGGATAGATGGGAGACAGATCCGGGTAACGCCAGTTATCTCTCCTAGTTTAAAAAAAATTATATTATTCAGGTTTGTTTGATGGGAAATCATTAAGCTGCCGTAATAAGTTTTAGCATAAAAAAATGGATATTTATTTTTTTTCTGCGGCTATAATGAATATTTTAATCCCAGAAGGTTTATAAAGAGTTAAAACTTGGTCTGAATTTACCTTTATATATGTAGAATTCATTAACCCAACACAGGTATTTTATACAATGTGTAATTGCTTTTATTTTAATAGGGAAGTTTATCTTAGAAATGGGCTAAAATGTGTTAGAAAAGGTCAATAAACAGTGCGTTAGGCGGAGTAGTGTCTTAGAAACGCGAGGAGGAGGAGTGATTGTTTAAAGTTGATTGTTTTAAGTTGATTGTTTTGAGTTGATTGTTTTGTTTCAAGCTCTGGTAGCTATGTCGGCTCTTCTGGGTATACACCTGTTTTTTATTTATTCCATTTGTATTATCGTAGATTCGAACTCTGGGGCTTGAAAATACGAAATCGATGACCCCAAGGGAATGAAATGTTGTTACCCAGGCTATTGTGTGGGGTGCATCTTGCCTGTCTGTATGTATGTTTATCTGTCAATATGTGTGTATATGTGTACGTATGTATGGATGTGTGATCTGCAATATATTCATATTGGGCTGGATTGGCTGCATTTGACTAATTCATTTATGAGTTTTTATAATATTATCACAATAGTGATAATATCGACACATAATAATAATAATAGTAAATTTAATAATATCAATGATAATATATCCAATAATAATGAGAAAAAACAGTAAGAGTCAGGAGGAACAGGATTCGAACCTGCTTACTCGGTACTCCAAAGCTGGATTCAGTGGAATCCCAGGTTGCGTTTTCTATGTCATGGTGTGGTGGTGTTAAGCGCTATAGCTGGGAGTACCAAGTGTGCGGGTTCGAATCCTTCTCATAACTCCTACTGATTTTCTCCTTGATACATCACGTTATTGTGATTTCAAAGTAAAATGATACTAATAATAATATTACAAAAAATTAATATTGTTTATTGAAAATTTAAAAATTGATGTAGTGAATTTTGCTTCTAATAAATCAGTTGAAGTTTCTATTCCTCCCCTTACCTTCTCCATCCCCTTCTCTCTCTCTCTCTCTCTCTCTCTCTCTCTCTCTCTCTCTCTCTCTCTCTCTCTCTCTCTCTCTCTCTCTCTCTCTCTCTCTCTCTCTCTCTCTCTCTCACACACACATACACGCACGTGACTTCTCCCCCTTAGCAAGGTGCAGCTTATCGTAAAACAGAGAAGTTTGTGCTCTGTGATAGCGTGACATAAGGGCGCTGAGTGTCCGTCACTCTGTAAACAAGGACATTCTAGTCCGGAGCGGCATATTTTCATTCTCAACATCTCCGTAAAATATTCAATTCATCTTTCCTCGGTATTCTGTTTATTGGTTTTATTTATTTATTTATTGACTCTGGTCTGTCTTTTATTGGTTTCTCACCTATATGTATTCCCTTATTTGTGTTTTATTTTGTTGATTTTATCTTATTCATATGTGTAATTACTGTTTATGCCTGCAGGATCAATCTGTTAGCTCTTGGACCCCGCCTTTCTAACCGTCTCGCGACTAATTGTCTCTCGTATCTGCAACTACATATATTTATCTTTCACACACACATCACAAGGATGTAGCCCGTAGCAGCTGTCTAACTCCTAGGTATCTATTTACTGCTTGGTGAACAGGGCATCAGGTTACAGTAACTCCGTCTATTTGTTTCTGTCTCGGCCGGGAATCAAACCCGGGATCTTAGGACTACGACCCCAGAGCACTATCTACTCAGCCGCGAGGCCCCTGTGCGTGCTTCAGCTCCTGGGATACGCTTCACTGTCCATCACAACTAATAGGATGTGTATTTATAAGTTATGGTAACCAGCGTTACAAATGAAATTGATTACAGAAAATATCGTCTCACAAATATCTACGTTTTCTGTGCAACAGACGCGATGGGTTTAGGTGGGTTACATGGGTTTGTACGTTTCTGGTTAGAATGAAAGGCTGGATTTCTTACGAAGTGCACAGACTGTCGACGGAGACTGCGCAAGACTGCGCCTGCAGCCTCCTCTCTAAGACGCTTTGTTTTGACGTTGGTTCTCTGTTTACTAATGTCCCCCCTGATGACGTTCTCTCTCTTGCCTTAGTCAGGGGGGTAATGGGGGCCTTCATCAACCCGTCCTCTTAAAAATAACGTCACTTTTCGCTCGTATGCGCCCTATGGCCAGATTTGGACGTAATTTAAAATGAAACCGACTCACAAAAGTGACGTACTGTTCCGTTTTCTGTTTGAGTCGTCCGGCTTACTCGGCCAGCTTAGAAAATCTGCTTCAAACTGTCGTTTTCCTCGGACTCATCAGGCTGTGTGTTGACTCTTAGCTCCTTGTCTTTCTATGATAAATACTTCTCACAAACCTTCGGTGTGGCTATGGGTTCCCCGCTCTTCACTGTGCTTGCCAGTCTCTATATTTAGTCATTTAAGTTCATCTTCCAACTACTGATACTCGTCCCTCTCTCTGGCTTCGCTATGTTGATGATATTTTTTGCGCTTTGACCACGTGACCTTAGTCTTTTCCAGCCTTTCCTCTCCTCTCTTAACAATCTGGCTCCCTCTACCCATTTCAAAGTTGAATGGGAGTCTAATCCCCCTCCTATTTTTTCTAGACCTTCATGTTCACAGCTTAGTGTCTGGATTATCTTTCTGTTTACAGCAAACCCATGCACAGTGGCATGTACATTCACTTCTTTTCCTGCCAACCTCCTTATGTTAAGAATAGTGTCCTGGGGCTAGATTCACGAAGCAGTTACTCATGTACTTACGAACGTGTACATCTTTCCTCAATCTTTAACGGCTTTGGTTACATTTGTTAAACAATTTACAAGCATGAAAACTTCCCAATCAAATGTTGTTATTGTTATAAACAGCCTCCTGGTGCTTCGGAGCTCATTAACTGTCTAATAATTGTAAACAAAGCCGCCAAAGACTGAGGAAAGATGTACACGTTCGTAAGTGCTTGCGTAACTACTTAGTGAATCTGGCCCCTTGTCTCTTTCTCTCTCTCGTCCTCCAGACCCTTCGTACCTGCAGTGACCCTCAGTGTCTTAATTCTGAC